TGGCACACCAAGAAGCTGCCCCACAAGATCCACCGAGGCCTGTGCAAGGTGGCCTGGATTGGGGCACGGCATCCTGCCCATGTGGCCTTCTCCATGGCATGCATTGGGCAGAAAGGCGACCATCAGCACACTGAGATCAACAAGAAGATCTATAAGACTGGCTAGCGCTACCTTACCGAGGATGGTAAACTGATCAAGAACAATGCCTCCACGGACCACGTCCTGTCTGACAAGAGCATCAACCCTCTGGGTGGCTTTGTCCACTATGGTGAAGTGACCAATGACTCTGTCATGCTGAAAGGCTGTGTGGTGGGAACCAAGAAGCGACTGCTCGTTCTCTGCACATCTTTGATGGTGCAGATCAAATGGCAGGCTCTGGAGAACACTGACCTTAAGTTCACTGACACCACCTCCAAGTGTGGCCATGGCCACTTCCAGACCATGGAGGAGAAGAAAGCATTCATGGGACCACTCAAGAAAGACCAAATTGCAAAGGAAGAAGGAGTTTAACACCAGGAACAGGTTCTGCACCTGGTGGGGCCTCAATAAAAGTTATCTTTAAAATATGATTAATTTTAAAAAACCACAGGGAGAGACCACTTCATACCACTAGGATAGTTATCATTCAAAAAAAACAAAACTGTATAGGTTGGGCACGGTGGCTCATGCCTGTAATCCCAGCACTTTGGGAGGCCGAGGTGGGTGGATCACCTGAGGTCAGGAGTTCAAGACCAGCCTGGCCAACATGGTGAAACCCCATCTGTATTAAAATAGATGTATATATTCAGAAATTAGCCAGGCATGGTGGCTAACGCCTGTAACCCCAGAGTCTGAGGGATGAGAATCGCTTGAACCCAGGAGGTGGAGGTTGCAGGAGCCAAGACTATGCAACTGCACTCCAGCCTGGGTGACAGAGTGAGACTCCGTGTCAAAAAAAAAAACAAACAACCTGAGGCCAGGCGCGGTGGTTCACGTCTGTAATCCCAGCACTTTGGGAGGCTGAGGCGGGTAGATCATGAAGTCTGGAGATTGAGACCATCCTGGTTAACATGGTGAAACCCTGTCTATACTAAAAATACAAAAAATTGGCCGGGCATGGTGGCGGGTTCCTGTAATCCCAGCTACTCGGGAGGCTGAGCAGGAGAATGGCGTGAATACAGGAGGTGGAGCTTGCAGTGAGCCAAGATCGCACCACTGCACTCCAGCCTGGGTGACAGAGCGAGACTCGTCTCAAAAAAAATAAAAAATAAAAAATAAACCCTGAAAATAAGTATTGGTGAGGATGATACTAGGAAATTGGAACGTTCACGCATTGCTTTTGGTGGATATGTTAAAATAGTGCAATTGGTGGCTCCTTAATAAGTTAAACATAGCATTTCCATATGTCCCAGCAATGCCACTTCTAAGTATGCATCCTGAAGAGTTGAAAACTGAGGTTCAAACAAAAGCTTGTACACGAATGCTCATAGCAACACTATTCACAATAGCCAAAAGGTAAAAATCTAAATGCCCATCAACGGATCAACGGATAAAGAAAAATGTGGCTTGGTGCGGTGGCTCACGCCTATAATCCCAGCACTTTGGGAGGCCGAGGCAGGCAGATCACTGGAGGTCAGGAGTCCAAGACTGTCCTGGCCAACACGGTGAAACCCTGTATCTACTAAAAATACAAAAAGTATCTGGGTGTGGTGGTGTGCACCTGCAGTCCCAGCTACTCGGAAGGCTAAGGCAGGAGAATCGCTTGAACCCAGAAGGTGGAGGTTGCAGTCAGCTGAGACTGTGCCACTGCACTTCAGCCTGGACGACAGAGCGAGACTCCATCTAAAAAAAAAAAAAAAGAAAAGAAAAGAAAAGAAAATGTAACTTACCCATACAACAGAGTATTATTCAGCTATAAAAAGGAAGGAAATTCTAACACATACCATAACATGGATGAACCTCAAGAACATGATGCTAAATGAAATGAACCAGTCACAAAAAGCCACATACGGTATGATTCCATTTCCATGAAAAGTCCGTACAGAGGGAAAGTAGATTTGTAGTTACCAGGGCTGGGGGGAGGGGGGAATGCGGGGAACTGCTGAATGGGTATGGGTTTCCTTCTGGAGTGATGAAATCGTGTGGAACTAGAGAGCAGTAATGGTTGCACAACATGGTAAATGTACTAAAGGCCACTTAACTGTGTACTTTAAAATGGGTAAATGGTGAATTTTGTGTTATGTGAATTTTATCTTGATAAAGAAAAAGAAAAAAACAGAAATAATGAAGCCTGTTCCCTCCCTAACAATAAATATGCTGTTTGGCTGGGCACAGTGGCTCACGTCTATAATCCCTGCACTTTGGGAGGCTGAGGTGGGTGGATCACTTGAAGTCAGGAGTTCGAGACCAGCCTGGCCAACATGGTGAAACCCCATCTCTACTACAAATACAAAAAAATTAGCTGGGCGTGGTGCAGACACCTGTAATCTCAGCTACTCGGGAGGCTGAGGCAGGAGAATCGCTTGAACCTGGGAGGCTGAGGTTGCCATGAGCCAAGATTACGCCACCGCACTCCAGTCTGGGTGACAGAGCAAGACTGTCTCAAAAAAAAGAAAAAGAAAAAGAAAAAAAAAAGTAGTCTGTTCTCATAAACCAGGAGGGCTGAGTACTGAAACAGTAAAACATCCAGAAGAATGTGGGACTCAATGGGGTTCTACTGCTTCTCCCTTTCCCCTAAAAGAGCAATCCACCTTCATGCAAGTCTGTGAATGCAGTCTTCAATTACCTGGAGAATTCCTGAGATGGAGCTGCACAACCAAAGAATTTGCAAGCCCTTATTTCCTGTTTTAAAGACCTTAGAAACATTTATGCACCCCAGCCAGCATGAGGCCGTAACATTTACATGTCGCAAATATGCCTGGCAAAAGACCAGCAGCTTACCGGCCGAGCTGTAAGAGCTGCCTATCTCCAGCATGCCTGATAGCCATCTGTGGGGGATGCAGGGTCAGGCTGCTGAAATTCTTTACTCACCCCAATTCCCCTGGCGTGTTTGGCCTGGGGAGCTGAGATCTGCAGAGTAGAGTGAGACATCTCCTAACTTCCACCTAGCGCTTGGGCTCCAAACTCAGGTCCTGTCCAAACAGCAACAGAGCCAGGTACAGTTTCTCTAAGCCCAAACATCATCTACTTACATCTTGTAGTAGTCATCTGAGCACTTGAAGGTCCCTGTGTCACTTTCTTTCTGGGAAAGAAAGGATGGGAAAATATAATGCTCCCATCTACAGGTCACTTATATAGAGGTATGGTTCCTAACCTTTTTGGCACCAGGGACCGGTTTTGTGGAAGACAATTTCTCCACAGATCGGGTGGCAGAAGGGCAGGAGGGCGGAAGGTTGGTTTCAGGATGAAACTGTAGATCTGCTGTTGTACCACCTCAGATCCTCAGGCATTAGTTAGATTCTCATAAAGAGTGGCCAGGCTTGGTGGCTCACGCCTGTGACCCCAGCACTTTGGGAGGCCAAGGCAGGTGGATCACTTGAGGTCAAGAGTTCGAGACCAGCCTGGCCAACGTGGCGAAACCCAGTCTCTACTAAAAACAGGGATCCCCCAACCCCCGGACCGATAACCAGTACCCAGTCTATGGCCTGTTTAGGGATAGGGGACGCCAGCACGGGAGGGCGAGCGGTATGAGCGGCCAGTCTGTGGCCTGTTAGGAATGGGGATGCACAGTCAGAGGCCGAGCAGTATGAGCGCCCAGTCTGTGGCCTGTTAGGACTGGGGACGCACAGTCGGGAGGGCGAGCGGTAATGAAGGACACCAGTCTGTGGCCTAATAGGAATGGGGATGCCACACAGACGTGAAGCGGTATAGCGGGCGTTACCGCTTGGGCTCTGCCTTTTCTGGTCAGGTTAAAGTGGTGGGTAGTGGTTTATCCCAGAACATGACCCTGATTGTGAACTGCAACATGCGAGGGC